TTTTTAAAGGCTCTTTTTCAATGAAATAAACATTATTTGTGGCATATAATGTTTATTGCACTGAGAAAAGTCTTGGAAAATTTATTTGTGGCATATAATGTCTACTTAATTGAAATAAACATTATTTGTGGCGTATAATGTTTATTTCAGCGAAATAAACACTATACGCCACAAATAAATTTTCAAAGACCTGTTTCCCGGTGTACAGTCGACCAAGAAGTTGTATACATTCTCGGTCGATTATGTGGAACAAACTGATGACGAGTCTAATAATTTTCTCGACGAATACGTTCGAAGGGATTATATATCGCGCCTCGAGAGTTGACCGGAAAAATATTGACGTTATTACGGAAAGTGGTGCCGGAACGGAGAGGCGCGCACGCCCACGGTCGGCATGTAGATACACGCGGCGTCATCGATTAACTGAAATGCCGTAACGTCTATTTTCCAACGAGATTATGTCGAATAGCTGCAGTTTCAGGCTCTCGGATTACACGGCGCCCAGAGTCATGCTGATGGGCACTTTCCCCGCGCGGGGTCTCTTACGTTACTATCGGCTTCACGCCCGATTTAATCATCCGTTACACATCGCTCGGTCTTCCCTCTGATCGCTACATGAACCGGTTTATACACCAGGATATTTTGTGTTAGCTAATTGCACGTTGCGCTCATAGCGGACCCACGTTGCATTCGTCATCTACCTCCCGCGGAGGTCCGTGAGTTCGATTTGCCCTGAGAGAATCTTGTACCCGACGCCTCGGTAATTTCTTCGTCAACGCGCCTCTCGTGTAAACAAATATCTTAGAATGCTTCAAGCAAACTTATATTAATACCTTTTTTTATTATAAATTTAATCAAAGTCGAGGATTTTCCCCTCAATCAATCTGTCTTTAATATTCTTAAATAGGAAGAGCACGTTGTTTCTTTTAATAACCCTGCGCGCGTAATATTTTATAACAGCAATGTAGCGTAAAGCTGACATAAAAAAATTGTATGGTTTCTTTTTTATCGCGTAGTTAAATCTTTTCACGACACGAACAGTTACGATCAATGTCTCAAATCGCCGCAGATGACTTAGTGTAATCTAATAGCGTCTCTAAAAAGTAATTCGAATCTTGGATATTTCCTGCTCCAATAAGCACGAGCGAAATATGCCAAGTCCGTACGGTCAAAGGTAGAAAGTTGCAATTCGGTCATCGGCGTGCTTTGTTAGGATTGCGAAAGAAATAGCTGTCTAAACCTTTTCTCGTTTCTGTAAGTCTAATTTCTCTTCTCCCGTACTTATAACGTTAAGGGGATGCTGGAGTGATTCTGCACTTTCGCACCTTTCTAACCTAAAAACTGTCAGTTCGCGGAAACATTTGTGTAATATACAAATTAAATGGCTTACGTGTACAGATCGAAAGCAGCTAGCTATTCCGGCCAAATGAAAGAACAATATGGCATCACTGAAACTAAGTTTGTAAGTCTAATAAAAAATAATAGTGAGCAACACACATACTACATGTACTGTATGTATGTGTTGCTCACTATTATTTTTTATTAGACTTACAAACTTAGTTTCAGTGATGTCATATTGTTCTTTAATTTA